CTTGTGAAGGGAACAATCCAAGAGGAAGAGATGACAATCCTAAATATATATGCACCAGATACAAATGCCCCTAATTATACAAAACAAATATTAATGGACATGAAAAACCAAATAAACAATGACACAATTGTAGTGAGGGACCTCAACACCCCTCTATCACAAATAGACAGATCATCTAGGAAAAAAATTAACAATGAAATTCTAGAACTGAACCAAGCTATTGAACAAATGGAATTAATAGATATTTATAGAATGTTCCACCCCACAAAATCAGAATACACATTCTTTTCAGCTGGACACAGGCCATTCTCCAAAAGAGATCACATGCTAGCTCATAGGTCAATTCTAAGTAAATGTAAAAGAATTCAAGTTATCCCCTCAATATTATCAGACCATAGTGAAATAAAATTGGAGATCAATAACATAAGAAACTACAAAACCCCCACAAACACATGGAAATTGAATAACACCCTCCTGAACAACCAATGGGTCACAGAGGAAATTAAAGAAGAAATTAGACAGTTTCTACAAGATTAATGATAATGCCAGTACAACATACAGGAATCTATGGGACACAATGAAAGCAGTTCTACATGGGAAATTCATAGCAGTCAATGCCCATATTAGAACAACAGAGAGAACTCAGCTAAATAACCTAATGCAGAACCTCAAGCTCCTAGAAAAAGAAGAGCATAACAAACCCAAAGCTCGTACAAGAAAGGAAGTGATAAAGATCCGGACAGAAATCAGTGCAATGGAGACTAAGAGAATCATACAAAAAAAATCAATGAATTGAAGAGCTGGTTTTTTGAAAGAATAAATAAAATTGACAAACCTTTAGCCAACCTTATCAAAAAAGGAAAGAAAAGGCTCAAATCCATGCAATTAAGAATGAAAAAGGTGAAACCACAATAGATCTAGCAGAAATTCAGAGGATCATCAATAACCACTTTGAGAATCTGTACTCTAATAAAAGGGAAAACACAGAAGAAATGGACAGATTCCTAGATACATACAAATTGTCAAAGTTAAATGAAGAAAATATAGAAATTCTAAACACTCCAATAACAATGAGTGAAATTGAAAATGTAATAAAAAATTTACCAACAAAGAAAAGCCCAGGTCCTGAAGGGTTCACTGCTGAATTCTACAAGATGTTTAAAGAACTATTGCCATTACTCTTTAAACTCATCAAGGAAATTGAAAGGGAACCAAGGCTTCCAAATTCTTTCCTGGAAGCAAGTGTTACTTTGATTCCAAAACCAGGGAAAGACCCAACCCAAAAAGGGAACTACAGACCAATCTCCCTAATGAACATAGATGCAA